CGCGAAAGCTACAGACAGCCATACTTGCTTTGACCCTCGCCGCAGCGGCGGGACAGCCTCATGCTCATCGTGACGAGGGAAGCACGGAGCTGTGTGTCTTGATGTTCCTTGTTGCGTGTACTGCAATCGCGTTGTGGGAAGCCGGTAGGTTCGTAGTCAGGTTCCTGGTTCGGGTTTGTAGAAGGGAACTTCCTGAGCCAGAAGTGGAAGCTGAAGGCGAGACGCCTGCTGAGGATCAGCCGTTGCGTGAGGATGATTTGGTTGACGAGCCTTCTCCTAACAGCCCAGTGTCTGGGGTCGGGGGAGCTAGCGGGTCGGCTGATCCAGCTGCAGGGCTTCATCAAGTTCCAAGGTTTGACTCTGGGGATCCTCAAGCTGTAGAGGCTGCCTTTCGGTTGCTTGAACAGGGACAGAGTTTCTTCTTACAGTATGTTGATGATGAGCTTTACGTAGGCCCTACTGCATCACAAGATCATGCTAGAGAAGCTCGAGACAGGGAGCTTGAGAGGCTCCTTGAAACAGGAGCTGTGCAGATCACTGAAACTGAAGCACCCTCGTCCTCAGAAGAGCCCATCTTAAGGAGGCGCAGGGGTCTCCCTGTATATGCGCCAGAGACGGATAATGAGCCAGAGGTTCCTGCAGAAGACCGTAGAGGCCTCGCCGCAACGCCCATCCGTGTTGGAGGAAACTTCACCGCTGTTAGGGACAATGGAGGGAGATGGGTTGGGAGCTATGAGGAAATTGTTGGGGAGGTCGAGAGGCGTGGTAATCCCAGACCTGGACTGTTGAACAACTCGCCTGTTCCCCCAATCATCCTTCGCTCTGATTGGCCTCCAGCCCCTCTACAACCCACACTCCGTTACCTGAGCCAGAATGCTAGTGCATGGGGTGGTCGAGACTCTGCCTTGCGTCAGCTGAGACCCAACGAACGGTGTGCCCGAGATGAGTGGAGAGTTCCAGTAGATCGTCCTCAAGTCCTGATCAGATGGCATTTCGCCGGAAGACGCCTTCTATTCTGCCCAGCAGCATGGCCAAGCCATCCTGTAACTTTGGAT